CTAACGCCTTAGTCTTAATAAATAAATGGAATGTTCAAAACAATAATCTAAGATACATTTCAAAATTTTAAGTCTTCTTTCTAACGGTAGCACAGAGAAGAATCCTAACATTTCCTTGAGATGTGAGAATAACGAGCACAACAAATTTGACGGCTAATAATCTGAGATTTTCCTGTGTAAACGAGCTTTGATTGAGATTATATTTTTATGTAAACGTACTCTAATGGTGGCATATCGCCTAAAAGCATCGATAGTAAAAAAACACCGATGTTTTCAAAAAATATTAAAACATCGATACTATCGATAACGCTCCGATGTTGTTCCAGTTCTGGCAGACTGTTTACTATCGACTGGAAAGATTGGATGTAAAACAAATAAAAGTGTAGCTACTATTGGCGTTAAAGCTAGAGGTGCAAAACTATCGATAGTCAGACCATCGATAGTATTCGATATTATTTTCAAAACTATCGATATATCGTCGATAGTATCGTATTATATCGTTTTCGCTCGATTTTGTTATAAAAATCTCCTTATAAATATATTCGGAAAGACGTTTGGATACCCTTGTAAACTACTGGACACGCTTTTTTTTAATTGTTTAACTGTGAAGTTAGAAGTAGCGTTATTGAAAATTTTAGATGAATTGAAATTGAAAAAAATTGTGCGTTCTGAAATTTTATATTTGGGGTTTTAGATATCCTAAGTCATATATAGGCATTCAGCAAGTAAATTGGAATTTTAGATCAAGAAACCATTTTTCTTATCTGAAAAGTAATGGTTTTATTAACCTTTTATTAAATAAGTAGTAAATAGTAGTGAGTAGATAATATTGACCGATTTGGTGTAAGTTGATTTGCATCAGTTTTTTTTACTGGAGTAAGCAGTATTTTAAAAGATGCAATTATTTCCGTCCTTTTCGAAATTTTTCGTTACTCTTTTAAAAAAGTAGCAACCATTTTTTTAGTTCAACTTGGATGTTTAAGAGAAATTAAGAGAAAAGAAGAAATAAAACTAAAGTAAACACTGAATCACATGTCTGTCGGACGGACTATCGATAGGACCAAAAAACAATCGATGGTAGCAAAAAAATAAAAAACATCGATACTATCGATAGTGCCATCGATAGTTTTGCACCTCTAGTTAAAGCTCCTGTCTCCACATACCACAATATTAATTTATAAAAAAAAATTAACAATATGAGCTCCGCCGCGGTATCTGCTGCTATTCAAAGCACAGCAGGAGCAGTACCCATCCGAAATGAAAAAGGTAGATTTGGTGATTAACAAACTTTATCCAGTGGAACTAAATTACTTTCTCGTCAGGTGAGATTTCTATGCAGAAAGTTAAGGTGCAGCGCTACGTGTCAGGCAAGCGTCCAGATTATGCTCTTGGAGGAACAAGTTCCGATGAATCTGACTTAGAGGACTTCATAGACCACCGCAAACGTGCTGCTCAGGCCCAACTTGAACGACGCTCACAACGAGATCATGCAACGGAAGAAATTGAAGCTAAGGCTCCATCAGGCGACGAGGCTGAAGTCGATGATCCGCGTTTAAGGCGCCTACGTATACGTCCCGAAGATCAGGAGGAATTGGAAAGAGAACGGCGTGAAAGACATAGACATATTCACGAACCAGAAATAGTTGAGTCTGAATCCGAGGAAAGTGAACCAGAAGTAACCACCGGAAATGCAACAAATAAAATAACCCTAGCATCTGAATCAGATTCGGATTCTGAATTAAGTGAGGAGGAATTGGAAAATCGGCGCGTTAGGCTACGACATCGAATGCTGCAGCAGCAAAAGGAAGAAGAGGTATTATTCTTGTACAAATTTATTTATTTACGCCATTTAAAAAGACACATTCCTGCTTAATTAAAGATTTTGCAAAAAGAAGAAGAAAGGCAGTCTGAGTCCTCTGAAACTGAAAGTTCTGAATATGAAGAAGAGACAGAGAGCGAAGAAGATAACGAACCCCGCCTTAAACCTCTCTTTGTTCGTAAACGTGAACGCGCCACTATTCAGGAAAAGGAACGAGAAGCGCAAAAACAAAAGCAGTTAGAAGTAGAAGCCAAAAGGGCAGCTAAAGACCGAAGACGTGCTACTCTACGTCTCGTAGAGGAGAGTGTTAAAAAGGATCTGGAAAAGTCCAAGGTATATTATACGTTCAATTTTTATCCGTACATACATATCTGCAATATTATTTAATATGTCTTCAACAGCCTGACACTGCTGAAGCCAGTATCGAGGATGTTTGTACAGATGATGAAAACGATGAAGTTGAATACGAAGCTTGGAAATTACGTGAATTAAAACGAGTGAAGCGTGATCGGGAAGAGCGTGAAAAGTATGCTTTGCGTCGAAAGTTTCTTATAAAACCTTTATTTATAATTATAACTTTTATAGCGCCGAACGAGACAAACAAGATATTGATCATATGCGTAACTTGACCGAAGAAGAACGTCGTCAAGAGCTGCGTAACAATCCTAAAATTATCACTAACAAAGCTGCCAAAGGAAAGTATAAGTTTTTGCAGAAATACTATCATCGTGGTGCTTTCTATTTGAACGAGGAAAGTGAGGTCCTAAAGCGTGACTTCGCGCAGGCCACACTGGAAGATCATTTCGACAAGACGATTTTGCCAAAGGTTATGCAAGTAAAGAACTTCGGCCGATGTGGTCGTACAAAGTACACACACTTGGTAGACCAAGATACAACCAAGTTCGACTCTCCTTGGTACGCTGAAACTTCGAACAACATTAAATTTCACAATGAGAAGGCTGGTGGCATGAAGCAAGTGTTTGATCGGCCCTCTTTGTCAAAACGCAAGAAGATGGAATAGAGATTTCGTACGAGGAATATATCTGCCGGAGGTGTACAGTTTGCTATATAAGCCTTAGATCTAGAAATTACTACATACAAATTAATAATCTTGCTGTAATTCAGAACACTTCACAAACTTTCGGATTTCTTTTATTTCCAATGATGAAAAGGATTGATCTGCATATGTATGTACATATTAATTTGCTATTAGATTTGTAAAATTAAAATTTCGTATCATTTTTCAGTATTACCAAATTCTATTGCCATTGGTATTGGACCTACAGCTAAAGTCGTTGTCTCCAAACATTTCTCTGCCCAGTTCATTTTCTCATCGCGCTCTTTAATTTTTTCCAAAGGCGTCCATGATAAGTCAAATTCTAATCTATAACTTCCAAGATATTTCTGATTGGGTCCACCATTCCATTCCTGTGCAAGTAAGATGTATAAATAGAGAAATCGGTATTTAGACATACCTACATATATTCAGCCCAATTCTTAATACTCCCGGGGAGTTTGTTCTCCGGGAATTCGTTTCTCCCTAGAGAGAAGTTCTCCAATAATTAACTTCCAGGGAGAAGCATTTTCCCCGAAAATTCGGAAGGCGGAGATTCGAACCTCGAAAAAGCTGTTTTACACTTTTTTGCAAGCTCAACTCCGCCATTTAGTATAAAAATCCTCGGGGGAATTTTTATTTATGATAAGAGGTTAGGGAAAAGAGAGAAAACTCCCAGGCAGTATCTGTTTAGAATCGGCCTGTATAGCTTTTGACTTACTTCAGGTGAAAGCATACTGAAATAGCTTTGACCCGATGAACGCTGATAAAGATGATAGATATGGCCAGGCTTTTTTGTAAAATTACATGCGGCATTGTGCAACAGTTTACTCTCTTCGGATTCCTTCAGTATTTGCATTGCCTGTGCTTGCAGCATTTTAATCTACAAAATAAATTACCACTGTAAAATCCTTCAATAATACTGGTATTAGATTACACATCTAACCTGATCCAGAATCACACATAGCTTCTGACATGTGCCAGATTTCAACTGCTTGTCGGCATTCTGTATTTGCGTTGCCAGCGAGATGATGTCTTCCTCCTGGTGCATTGATACACGCAACGGGTCCACGATATGGACGCCATTAGGATGAGGGTTCCGCTCAACTAACTGCGCTACGGAATTAAATCGAAATTTAGTGGAAGGGTCTTGCTAAATAACTTTGCCACAGAAGTTAATTACCCTTTTTCACAGCAGTTTCATATGTCAGACGCTCCATTTCTATAGCACACCTTTTCATACCAAATTCACAAAGTTTTTATTTTACTTCGAAATATGTTTGTTTTTGCGAAGTGTCAACATTATCTTTTTGTTGTACCTAAAGGTAGCATTGGTACGATAACGATGTACTTATACGAGCACATAATCTCGATAACAACTGGAAGCTAAATTGAAATATTACACAAGATAATAGGGGCTATCAAAGAATCCATCGTATTCCGATTTTTCATGAAATCTAGGAAAATGCGATCACTGAATCCGAATTGCTACGAACGTGTGTATTCAAAATATATGCTACGTTCGTAGCTATTCGGATTCAGTGATAGCATTTTCGTAGATTTCACGAAAAATCGGACTCAGATGGATTCTGTGATAGCCCCAATGTTCTTAGATCTCGTTACAATACATGGCGAAATTATTTCACTTACACTTGCACTTTTCTGACAGCCCAACTCAGCCATTTAATATAAAAAAAATTCTCAGGGAATTTTTATTCATGATAGGAGGAAAGGGAAAAGAGAGAAAACTCCCGAAGGGGTTTCTGTTTAGAATCGGCTTGTGTATGTATATCGATAATTGTTTTGTACCGTACCATCGCTTCGACAAACTCAGCTGTTTTGATAAAATGACAGTTGGAAGAACCGAACAGTGGGTTCGCATGAAAAAATGTTGGACCAAAAGGCCGTACGTACGCGTATTTGAACCCAACGTTGAATTGTTTTAAATTTGCAACTGCACCCTCTACATTTTTATGATGATCTCATTTTTGCCAGCAGATTTTCAGGGTTACTTTCACATAAATGCCTTTATTTGCAATAGCTGGTACAGTGGCGAGCACTTAAATATAAAAATTACCTATCGCAACCCATAATCAAACCCCTACCATCAATTTACGAATCAAACGATTATTAATAGAAAATCAGTGTGAAATATTTCCTTCACAAAGCCATTGAAATTTATTAATAGTTATCAGTTAATTCATACAAACATATATTGGGAGTATCAACACATTAATACAGCTGCTACACCAAGTTAAATCTAACACCTATGACAATTATAACTTAGTTTGTTCAAATGTTTTAAAGTATTACAAAAGCAATAAAGTTATTGCAATGGAAATGTTATTTTCTGTCAGCAAATTTTCGTTGACCATTTATAGGACAAACGGGAAAATGGCCCGACGACCCTTGGGGTAGTCTTTAAACTCTTTCTTGTAATTACGGTGTTTACCTAGAGCCCAAACAGTCATTTGATAAGCACCAGCTATAGCAAAAAGCAATGCTGGTAGACATTGGGTCATTAGAGAGAATGCCACCCATGATCCAATCTCGTACGTGTAGTTGGGGCAGGATACCAAGCTAAAAATAACAATATACTACTAAACAAATTTTTTAAGGCATGATTAGTTATACTTGAACAGTTTTGTGAAGGGATTTCCATCAGGTATCGGAATTCGGCGCACTTTAGTGCCAGGTGGGCGTAAGTTGCGGAGGGCAATGTGAATAGAAAAATTACCCAACTCACAAATCTGAAAAGTAACTGAATTTTAGTGACCACGCATAATGAAAGTGTTTGAAATATCTCTACCGCAAAAGCAGCCAAAAAACTCCAGACTTGAAGGCAGCAAGGACTGGTGAATAACGGATGATTAACGTGATATGAAACGTAGGCTGTGAATCCCCAGTAGTAGCTACAATTTTTGAAGAGATTGCGAATAGGCATAGTCGCATGCGAGAAACGATGCACGAATATAGTCTCCAAAATTCGTTTTAAATAATGCACGGTATAGCAGCCAGCTGCAATGCTGAAACAAATTTCCGATATATGAAAAATATTATTAACACACATATGTACATTTATATTATTCATATTATAGTATTCGAGCGTTTGCGAAATACAAAACCAGCCAATAATTAATGCGAAACTTAATGAGCGCTTGTGAAACTTTGTCTTGGCGCACAGTAGTTTCATCGACCGGCAACGAACATCGAAAACAACCCACGGCAACATATGTATGTATAAAATAAATGAAAAGGTTAAAGTAGGTCGTCGAAATTGTTGTTGTAGTCGCTGCTTTTACTATTAAGCTTGCGGATGCGCTCAGCTAGTGAATTTTTGCAAACTTACTGTGCTGTTAAGGAAATTGGCTTATCTGCGGCTTCACCATAGATGATATCCGGACGAGCATAGAATATAAGGTATACAAAGAGAGGCCCGGCGTATTCAGCTAAAAATACAGTCTTCCAACCTATCTGTGGTCCCAAGTCTTTTATATAAATCTTATTGGATTTTCCAATGTCAAGAGACTCCAAGGTATCCGTTTCTTTAAGAGCCTTTCCACGGGGTTCTAGTCGCAAAGATTGACGTTCCGGGGCCGGTGTGCTTTTATATTGCTTATGTATGATATATCGCAAATCGCCAACGGTAGTACTAGGAGGGACGTGGCATCTTCCATATGATTTGGAGCCCGTGGCTGATAGTATTTCGACCTTTTTGTAAAATAAATATATTACATACGTAAATAGATTTTAAGCTCTGCACAAGGTTCAACAACCAATTACATAGGTGCTTGAATACTTGAACAATAAGACATACTTACATCCATTACTATGCAAATATGAATTGTACGTATTGAACACTATTTGAATAGCTTTATTTACAATCAACACCAATATGTGCGAGTTCCGCAAGACAAATGCGAGCTTTGCACAAATCGCATGAAAATTTCGTAGATCGTTCGAACTATAGGAAGACAAAACAAAACAATAATAAATTCTGATCAGCTGTTCAAACAAATTGTCGATAATTGTGAATTGTGGTCGCCCTGTGACATTACGTTCGACCCTGTACTTCCGGTAGTGCATACCGATGACTGCAATGAATCAAATCAAAATCAAATCAAAAATCAAATCATAGTTCTTTCGATTAATCGGAAGTGTTGTATACCCCCCTGAATTAATAATTAAGCTACATGACTTAATCCCTGAGGCATTGATTATCAAAGAACTTAAGTCTATGCATAGTGAAAAAAATATATTTCCCTATGAATCTATTGATGTTATAACATGTTGGCTGCGTTTCTTTATACATTCCGGATAATCCAATTTCACAGCCGGAATAAACAGAATGCGTTTGAAATATACGTCAACATATCATCAGGAACGTTCTAAAGAATAAATAAACAAAAAAGTTTATTCCAAACGTTCAGAATGAATAAAGAAATGCAGCCGTTATAAAAATTATTTAATTAGGAAATTGGTAGTTGTATAGGCTCCTATCATGAACCAACGACTCCAGATAACGGAATCAGCCATCGTTGTACATATTTGTAATCGAATTTCAGAAAAAAGTTTTCGTAGCGTTTTTGATGTTTTTCGTTTTGTTTACATCGTCTTCTATCACTTCGGGGTTGCTCTTTTTATTTTGATTGGTTTTATCGATTGTAGTTTTGATTTTTATCTATTACAAATTTATGATCTAAAATGAAGTGCTTTGTGATTGGAACAAATTTGTGCGTTTGTTTGGTCAGCCAAAAGGCCTAAATTTGTGTGAATGCTCGTGCTGATGTTATGCGATTATAAAACACTTTCAATCATGAAAACCATATATTATGAACGCTTATTGCTGGTGCAGCCGCTTAAATTCATACAGAACCAGATTAGACCCAGAGATCACTGACACCTGCCCAGCATGCGGAACTGGTCCACACAACACCACACACTTGTTCGCATGCCCTACATATCCCACCCATCTGACACCCGAAGCGTTGTGGACTCAACCTATCGAGACTGCTCGCTTCCTGGGCCTAAGGTTGGAGGAGTCAGATGGGGAAGATGAATAAACAACCAACCAATTCGGGGACTACGTGCTGCTACAACAACAACAACAACAACGCTTATTGGTAATTGTCATCAAGTTTCATTTATTGGCCCGTAGTCATAGTCAAAATAAAGTCGACTTTAAAGTTAGTTGCAGCTTTTTTGACAGATATCCCATTGAAAATTATGTCAAAAAGCTGCAACTAACTTTAAAGTCGACTTTATTTTGACTATGACTACGGACCATTATATTTAATAATAAATACCAATATAACCGCACTCAATCACCGCCGTTTTTAATTTTCTTTGCTTGTATTCATTCTTAGCCAGATCTCAGAAACGCTCAGAAATTTACTTTTTCATTATTTTCCGATTACGTGATGTTGTTAGTTGGTTCATAGGCTCCTATTGCTATGTAAGTATTTACACTAAAATTTCGCTATAATGACTTATTTTATCCCCATTTGGATTACCCAAAGGACAGAAAAGACATCACTGGCGCAGTCGGCTATGTAATTCCTCCAACTCCTTTTCGTAAATATTGCGTTTTCTTTCTCATACGATTCTTCTCGAAATAAATCGAAGTTGACGATAAAATATATGCGAATTTCTGCGGTTAAAAGTTCAATATAATTCTACGAGAGGCATAATTAATTTGTATTCCATCCTGGAATGAAAATAAACAGTATTCATAATGTCCGACAACGCAGACGAGGTGAGAAATGTCGAGAAAAAGCAACAGATGCTGCCACTCCGACCATGTAATTTCTTGCAGATTGAGTTGTGCCAAAGTATTGGGCCCCACGAGCTAGTGGAAGTTAAATCGAAGGCTGTCGTGAAGTTTTCAGCCGTACAGGTACCGGTGAGCTTTAATCGACTACAGTGCAACACAAATTTGAATCTGCCACCCTCCAATTGGTTGACCACGTCAAACAATAGCGGCCTACACCAAGCCCTCTACCAGTCACCAGGTTTCGCAAGGTGAGTCAATAAAATTTCTCACTCCAAATTTTATGATAAACGACATGTTATGTTTTACACCCTAACAGTTTTAGCATCGCGCACATGTTTCCGGACTGTGTAGGCGAGGTAGACGTTGTAACAGATGCAGAAAATATTAAACGGCTCTTAAAGCTGCCCTATACATCTAAAAGTGCCGTCAGTATGATTGTCCACAAAGTAGGTAACACGTTGCTCCTTGACGAATTCGATATACAGAAGTATTTGTTGCGCAAAGCAGACGACGATTGGAAATGGCTGCGCACTTTTATACTGGAGCATATTCTGGCGTATGGCGAAAAAGATCATAGCTTCTGCCTCAAAGACAAGTCGCGCGAGGCGCTTCAAACCAAAAATCTGCTCTCGAAATTCCTGTACTACAGCTTAAAGCAATCGGCTTCCGAAGTACCAGAGCAAGAAACGCAACGCGAGCGACCAGCTTTGCCAATTACGGGGCCAGTTCTACCAGAGCCCAAAGTTGAAGAAAATGTTCCAGATCCCAAATCGAGTCACGTATTCAATCGTAATGTTCTCTGGACATTTGAAGACATACGAATGCTTATTGGCACCGATATGCCAATTTTTGGAGGACCTAACCGGCCATGCATTAGTCTTAGACTACGCGACATGGCTAAGCCTATCAATGTACTGACGGGCATAGATTACTGGCTAGATAACTTGATGTGCAATGTTCCAGAAGTTGTGATGTGCTATCACATAGATGGAATTGTACAGAAATACGAAATTATTAAAACCGAAGATCTCCCATATCTTGAGAACTCTCAGTTTTCACCTCAAGTTGTACGCAATGTGGCACAAAACATACTAGCTTTTCTGAAAGCCAATGCCACGAAAGCAGGACACACTTACTGGTTGTTCAAGGGACGCAACGATGATGTCGTCAAGTTGTATGATCTCACTACACTTTGTCAGAAAGATGCAGAAGCCAAAAGGTGTGAAGAAAAACAGGAAAATCCATTTACGGTGCCTGTGGCTATGCTCTTGTACACAGTGGCACGTAACATGAAGAACACGACAACACAGATAACACCAAAAATTGCGGGTAATATTAAGGCTTTGCTGGATAACTGCATTAAGCTGCTACCCAAAGAGAAATATCCCCAGATTGTAACATCGTCTCATTATATATTATCTGACTTGCATTTGCCAGCCGGGATCGATCCGAAGGCGCCGAAATTTGATAATTCCGATCTGGATTCCGATACGCAATCGGTTTATGAAGAAGATGAAGATGATGACATGGGCAGTGACGATGACTGCAATTTAAATGATGTACACAATGAGTTGAGTGAAAATCCTGAACACAGTGGCAATGTGGCAGTGAAACAAATTTGCGACACTCTGAAGGAGCTAAATATAAACGCGCAGTTAAAAAATGGAAATCGTGCCCCGCGGGCACCTTCACCGTTGCAAGCTGGAATAGAGGACCGTTGTCGTATTTCATTGGAGCATATCAGTGCTGGTATCGCTTGTCTGAAATTTTTCAACTCCAATGAAGAGAAGTTTATAAAAGAAAGTGAGGTGCGAGCCAAAGACGAAGAAAAACTACGAATACTGCATGAGGAACAGCACCCGAATATGGCAAAACCGTTTAAACCCATACCACTACCTTATGAAAGCCTTAGCAAACATACGGCGAATGACGAGCTAGACAGTCTTAAGAATTCCGACGATGACGCTGACGATAGCCTAACACAAAGCGATGATAAAAATATGAAAAAGTCAAAAGTGAAGCGCCCTAAAGCTAAGGAATTGAAAGAGTGCCAAAATGTAAAAACTGAAGCAAATCAGGGTCTGTCTACATTGGAAGATAAGCGGATCGGAACCAAATTCAATTCTCAACTTTTTGGTTCATGGAATGTTCACTTGAAGCTACTCTTGTTGGAAAAGGCTTGCCTTGCATACGCCACCTACGCAGAATACTACTACATAGAGCAAAAATACGGCAGTTGCTTGAACGCTATTTACATGGCTTCTCGCTGTCAGCAGGTTGTTTTAAAGTACATGTCGGGTCTAGTTTCTCAAAAGAGTTGTTTGCTGGGTCGTGCTGGAGACTGCTTTTTCCAAATGGCTAAAAAACTGGAAGTATATCGACAGTTACCTTGAACAATTTAATGAAGAGTCTGATATCGCGCAGAATATCAATATCGAAGTCGTGAAAGACTTGAATGGAGGTAAAAACTTAATAATATTATTACGAAATCTGTGCATTATATTTCTGTATATTTGGAACTCCCGTATAGATGATCTCATTGAACTAATAACCCCACTGGCTAATATCGAACACTTGATGCAGTCCAGCTGCAAATGCTATGAAAATGCAATTGAATGCATTATTGAGGGAAGCACGTCAGATGAAGATTCCAAGAGTGAGCTGCTGCGTCGGTTGGGAAATGTGCGAAATGAATTGGGTCTAAAATACATGTACTGGGCGCAGGGTAAGAACAGTTAGGTTTTAATATTTGTACTGAAAGTAAAGCTAATGAGCATTTAGTTTTGCTTAAATATAGAGGAGTACTCAAAAGCTATGGAAACTAAATCAAATAATTTGACTGATGTTAGTGGTTCTACCGAAAACAGCCAGCTGAAGGAAAATCGATGCGAAGGCGACAACAAACAAGTAGAAAAGGCAAATGAGCCAGTCTATATGAAATTGGCAATGAAGTCCTATGATTGCTTGATACGTGGCATTTCGGCGTTCAGTGAGGTGCAGGACAATGTAAACCTGGCATTTTTATATTGCAATCTAGGCCGCTTCATGCGATTTCGAGCACATTTATATCTGCCTGAGGAAAAGTAAATCACAACTTGTTTATAATTGATTATATTGACTAACAGCAAGGTATCCGTAGCATTGACTTCGTGCGAAAACAGAAAATGTTC